GTCGATGTTTCTCTCTCATCAATGTTTCTGGCTCTCTATCCCTCTCCCTTCCTCTCTGAAAAAAAAATCAATAAAATATATTTTTTTAAAATAAAATAAATGTCTGCCAGTGAGTCTAAGACCTAGGCCTGGAGTGTATCTCCTCTTCAAACACCACAGGATTGCAAAGGAAGCATAAAGGCTGTGGGACCTCGGGGGTCAAGGAGCTGGCAGAGAGCAAGGGAAGATAAGCCTGTAAGCAGGGTGGTGGGTTCTGATTCTCATGTCTTTTCTTCATTTGGTGCCTCCTCCTCAGCCCCATCACCCCCACACCCACCCCTCGCCTTGCAAATTGGTTTCCTTCTGCACAGAGGGGACACCATCTCCACTTAAGCCCCCCGCTGTTCCTTGCTGTCTTCAAGTTTTTCTACAGAAAAGTATGTGGTCAGAGGAAAGTTATTTGCTACCTAGAGCTCCCTCTGCTGATACACAGGGTGGACGGTTGGCTAGAAAACCTGTGGTTTCAGAAGCACAGCTGGGTGACTGGCAGGGCATGTCGCCTACCTATGCCTGTGGTCTGATCAAAAGCTGTTTCCTTTTCTTGGGTGCAGTTTGGGGGGGGGGGGCGGAGTACACTGATGTGTGTCCACAGCCCTGTGTCCTTCAGGGGTGTCTGGGGGCTTTCGGCATCCCGCCTCCTCTGACCTCCTGTGCCCAGGTTGCGCTTTTAGAGAGAACCAGGGGTTCCTTGCGATAGGAAGGTGCTCTGTGCATAACTCCCCCACCGACACTCAGGAACAGGTACCATCAGGAACAGGTGTTTATTATTTCTGTTTGACACGGAAGTGAAAACTAGGGGGAGGTTTTTAAATTTTTAAGAGCAAAGTCGGGGTCAATTGGTAGAGTCTGGGTAAAAACAGGTTCTAATTAAAAAAACAGGAACAGACACATGGTTAAGATATTTTTAACAACCCACATGTTTGGCTAAATGTGAAGTTTATTGAACTGCAGGAGAAGGCATGCATTGCTCTAGCTCCCCAGCCCCTCCTGTCAGGACCACTGGAGGGAGGGGAGAGCGGGTTCTTTACAGACCAGCCTCCCAGCATGGCCAGGCTGACATTCTTTCAGATCTGCCACCGGCCAGTGCCAACGTTTCCTACGAAATCTACAACACCTCTTACATCCAATACCCGGGTCCCCTGCACCCCGCCCCCGCCTCCCCAGCCTTGGGACATTCTTTGTCTCCACCTTTTACAGATCAGAATATTGAGGCTCAACCATGCTCGCAAATACCTTAAAATCACAAAAAAAAAGTCCCAGAGATGCCAATTGCATCTGCAAACTTGTAAGCACCACACCATGATCCACCCACTCCACCAGCTGGTGTTTATTCCACACCCCAAGTTTACTCAGTGCCCTGAACTTTCCCAAGAGCCAGAGAGAGCAAGGTTTAATTGAGAAGAGAGATTAACTGCCCCTGAAGTCTCTTATAAAAATAAAGGATTAGGATATAGTGCCACTTCCTCCAGGCAGCCTGTCCTGACTACCCTTCCCCCGTCTGATATACCTGGGCATTCATCATTAACACTGCCCTACTGTTACTAAAGAAACAGGAAATACCTAACATTGGTTGAGCACTTACTATGTGCCAGTCTCTATAGAAAAAAAATATTTTAATTGTTTTAATCCTTATAAGAAATCCTTATATGATTATCCCTGTTATAACCCCCTATTTTACACATGATGAGGAAACTGAGGCATAGAGAAGGTAAACGGAGAGAAGACTCCCCTTTTCCTGGTTTCCCTCATAACCCCTGGCATAGAGCTGGCACCTCAGGAGCTCAAGCAGACTGGCTGACTGGTTTACTTTCCTGGAGCTTGAAGGTGATGGTGAAGGAGACTTAAGGGTGGGGAATGGGGTGGGGAGGGAAGCCCACAACTCAGTTGGAACTTCCTTAGAGATCTGGCTCTCAGTGAAGGCGAGAGTAGGAACCATATTTAAAGAGAAAAATTCCTCGGGGAATCTTCTTCATATCTATATTTCACTTGCCCAATGGGATGCCTGGTGCATAATAGGGTCCAATACATCCGTGTTGAATGACTAAATAAGCCTTAGAAATTCTAAAGAAACTTGCTGCTGTTGCTAAGGCAGCTGCTGCTGCCAGGGTCTCAGGCAGTGCTTTGGCGCTATCTTCTGCATCATGCTCCACAAGGATGCTTGAGGTGCTGTGAGTCTTGGGGGGAAGATGGTCTCGGTGACCCTGGGGGCTTGCCTTCCCACTCTGCTATCTCAGGTGATGTTTAGCCTCCCATAAGCTGTTTATGGCACCCGTAACCTGCCCTGGAGCTTTTAAACCTCCTTCTCGGGTGGCTTTTTACAAGTTGAAATAAACAACTCTTTCTCTCCAGGGACTTGGGGGCCTGGATCCTTAACCTCACTCCTTCAGCCTGTGGCCCCGAGGGAGCTGAACCAGAGCCAGAGCGTGTGCCCCAAAGGACTGTGGTTAACGCATCGCGTGCAGGAAGTAGATAACATCATTGCTGCTTAGAGGAAAACTGCAGCCCAGACCTTGAAGCAAAAATGGTCTTCAAGAAGAGGGGGTGGAGATAGGGGAGGGGTGGGAGGAGTGCCCAGAGTCCCCAGCCTCTGCTGGGAACGGGCAGCTCTGTGAGGACACTGAGGAAGAGTTGTGGGGGCCATCTCCTCCAATCCCTCGCTCAGCATTACAGAACCTGCAGGCCTGGGAGGGACTGACTGGCCCGATGCTGTGTTAGCACCGCGGTGGCTGCACGGAATAGATAATGGTGGCTCCCTCCCCTGTACTGATCCCTGCCTTCCCAGGAGATCCTGATCCAGGAAGCTGGCTTCTCCCAGGAGCCAGAGGCGATGTGTGGGACCTTGGCCAGGCTGATCAGCACATTCTATCTTCCTGGCCGCAGTGCTTGGTTTAGGGGCGATCTATGATGTGAAGCTGGTTCAGAGGGAATCTCTGGGCCTGGGAGGGGAATGCTGGGAAATGGGAAATACTGCCCCGCCTTCTGCTGGGCTGGCAATGAGTGAAGGATGCCAGTAGTCTCAGCAATGCATTCCAGGCCCATGCTAAGAGAGAACCTCAGGAGGAAGCAGACCCCGCGAAAGGCAGAGAGGAGAGATGGCGAGAAAAGGAACCCTAGGCCAGAGCTCTGAGTTGCTAGACCAAACCTCATTTTCATGGTAGTCAGTCCGGCCCCACCCTCATGAAGCCATAGCACTTTATGCTAATTTCTGAAGAGACACCAACCTCGCTGGGTTTTAATGACTGACACCCGGCTTGGCGAAGGGGAGACTCAGCCTTACTCACCTGTGGATGCCCCCACCTGTGTCTAACGCAGTTGGATGTTCACGAACTCTCCTGGTGTGAACAAAACGATCTCCTTCCCCTCCTTGCCTCCTTCTCAAATAGATCCTCTTTATTCCTCCACTGTCTTCTTTTTACAAATAAGAACGAGGCTTAAAAGCACAGGGGACAAGATGCCACACACTCGCTTCAAGTCCCCAATTCGCAAACTGGGGGTTTGACCTGCTATTTGTATTGTCCTGGTGTTAATCCCTGCCCCCATCCTGCCTGTGTGTTCAGGGCTGCTGTGTAGAAAGCCTTGGACAAGAGGACAAGGGAGGGGAAGACGGGAAGACTGAGTCAGAGAAGGCTGGGGATGAAACTCAAATCCTTTGGGATCCCCAGTCTAAACCTCACTGACAGAGGAGGGAAGCTCAGGCCCAGAGAGGTGCTCTTCTGGCTCAAGGTCACCGGAATAGTCCAGCCCGAATGGAAAAGAACTTCATGGCAAGACCTACTCCCCATGGAGCTGAGCTCTGCCCAGCTGGAAGGCAGGCTTTGGAAGAAGGACCTGGTGGGAGGCTCAGGTGCCAGACTGTGGGACTTGGATCCTGTGAAGGTTGAGAAACTCCACACACGGTCTCCCTTTCCCCAGGAAAGCTGCTAGCTCGCCAACTGGGTTTGGAGTCTCTTGGCTTGTGCGTCCTCAGGGAGCAAAGGAGTGACTCAAGGAAGCACTTAGGACATCCTTGGCTCTAGGGGATGGGTGTGATTCAGAAGTCACTCACAGTCAGAGGCTCATCCACAGCCTCCTCCCTGCGCCTTCCCGCCGCCCGGGGATCCAAGGATTCTCGGCGTGAGACACTTGCGTGGCTCTGACACTCCGAACGCCCCCCCTCAGGTCTCCACCTGCCAGGCGGTCTTTGTGCGCAGAGAGCATCCCGGACCCGCAAACTCCAGGGCGGGCAGCCTGCTCCACTCCTCCTGCCTCCTGCTCGCTCCCCACAGGGAAGGCAGGATCGCGGGACCCCCAGATCTTACCCGCCCGCCTCCCTCCCCGATATCCTGAACGGGCCCACCCTCACCCAAAGCTCCCTCGGCTTTTCTGCCCCCTCCCTCCCCACTTCCCCCAAATCCCTCACTCCAGCCTCCTTTTCTCCACCGCGGGAACCTTCCTTCCCCCTACCACCCCCTTCTCACTCCGGTCGTAGCGGGGGGTCTGCCCTGTCTGCTTGCCCCCACCCCCTTCCTTTCCCTCCTTTTCCTCCCTCCGTCGCTCCGCCCCAGGCCCCGCCCCTCTCCACCCCGGCCCGCGACCCCCGAGCCCGCCCCCCGCCCCTCCGGGGGAGGCGGTGGGAGGGGAAGCCCCGCGGGCCGGCCCCCCTGTCCCTGCGCGCCGATCCCCGCGCGCCGGCGCCCCCCGCGCGGCCTCCCGCGCCCGCCTCCGCCCCCCTCCTCCCGGTGACGTCCGGGTCCCTGCCCGTCTGAAAACTCCGCGCCGCGGCGGCGGTGGAGGCGGCGGCAGCGGCGGCGGCGGCGGCGGCGGCGGAGGAGGAGCAGCGGCGAGCCGAGGCGGCGGCGGCGGCCCGAGCGGGAGCCCGAGCGGCGGCCGCGGGAGGCACGGGGAGCGCGCGGGCGGCCCGGAGCCCCGGGTCCCCGCGCCCCGCTCGCCCGCCCGCCCGCCCGCCGCGCTCCGCTCCGAAGATGGTGGCGGCGCCGTGCGCCCGGAGGCTGGCCCGGCGGTCGCACTCGGCGCTGCTGGCGGCGCTCACGGTGCTGCTGCTGCAGACGCTGGTCGTGTGGAATTTCAGCAGCCTGGACTCCGGGGCCGGCGAGCGCCTCGCCGAGCAGCCGCCCCCGGCGCCGGCCCCGCGCCGCGAGCGCCGGGACCTGCCCGCCGCGCCGGCTGCAGCCCGCGGAGGAGGCGGCGGCGGCGGCGGCCGCGGAGCACGGGGGCCCCCGGCGCGGGCGCGGGCGGGCGGCGCCGGAGGAGCCCGGGCGCAGCAGCTGGCCGGGCGCGGGGCGCTGGTAAGATGCCCCCTTTTCGCCTGGCGTCCGGGGAGGGGAGGAAGGGAGGCAGCCGAGCAGCCCCAGCCCCACGCTCCCCCCCCCCCCCCCAACCCCTGGCGCCCTGATCTCCAGACTGGAACTCCCCCAGCCTGCTGGCTCCACGTCCCTTTGGAAGGAGGGGGGTGGGGTGCCTGACACGGCTTAGGGGCCAGGAGCTGCCCCATCCCGAGTCTAAGGACTGGCCCCCTTAGGGTCTGGGGAAGTTCTCTCCGGCGGAGGCGCTTTGGGGGTGACGGGAGCTGGCGGGGTGCCTGCTGCTCCTCGTCACTCTTTCTGGACGCTCCGACTTGCTCAGTGCCTGTGGGTGCCGGTGCCTCGGACCCTGTCTGAGGGAGTGGATGGTGCCCGCGATCCTCAGCCGCGGCTCGCCGTGGCCGTGGCTCTCTCTCGCAGCATCTCGGTTTGCAGCGAGCCGGGCGCAGACAACTAGGTGCCCGCCTGCTGGCTGCCGCGTTGCTTTAGGTCTGGGTACAGGGTCCCCAGTCGCCAGCCCTGTCCCTGAATCAAGACTCAGCGGAGGTGCTTAGCCTTACTTTGGGGCTTCCTCTCTCCTCTGGGTGTCTGTCTCTAACCTTGCCCTCTCCTTGTGCCCTCTCTTACCCTCCTCCCCCTGCTGCCCAGGGTCAGGGCATGGCCAGGCTCCTGGATGGTGTGGCTGGCTGGCTGGCTCTCTGTGGCAGCTCGTGGAGCTGATTGCTATGGCCAGCTGCGTCCCGCCCTGCCATCAGGACCTGGGCCGCTCCGGGTTTCCTGTGCTCTCTGGGTGTGACAGTCTGGGCTCTGACTCCGACCCTTCCATAGGTCTCCCCGAGCCCTCTGGCTGCCTTCCTCCTGTCCCCAGTGCCTCCTCCACGGGTGTCTTGCATACCTTTTCTTGGGCTGCTTTGCTGCGCCCACTGCACTGGGAGCCCAGCCCAGAGAACCGGAGGTCAGAGGCCCCCACTCTGGGCCAGGGTTTCAGTGCGGGTGGGTGTGTCTGTCTGAATGGCATCACCAGAGCTGTGTGTCTGTCTTTATCTCCATCACTGCTACTTGGTTTGGGGGGTTGGGGGGGGGGAGCTCTCCTAGCTCCTGTGGGGTTATCAGATAACCGGGGGTAGTTTCAGGGGTAGTTTCAGGATCCCCTAGGCACTTAGCACATGTCTCTGTCATTTGCCACTTCGGGAGCCCTCGCTGAAGGCTGCCTTCGGACAGACGCAGTGTGAGGCTTGTGGATCTGTTAAACTTCTTTGAGTCTGGGCGACCCTCCCTGCCAGAGTGCAGCTCTCTGTGCCGCCGAGCTGAGGCTGCGATGATGTCCTGTCACGTCGCGGTGGCCAGTCTGTGTGGGTGGTAGCAGGGAGCCCTCATTCCCTCCTTTGGGGGGGAGGGGCGTGGATGGAGATTCCTGGTGGAGAACCAGAACATTCCCAATGTCCAGCAGCCCCTTGTTTCCCGCAAAGACAGCTCTCGGGCTCTGCCTTTGAATCCGGGAGTGGACAGTGATGTGTTTGGGCAGACATTCTTCCTGGATTTAGGGCCCCACCGGGAGGGAGGTGGGCGGGAGGGGTTCAGGACGTGCTCTGCTGATCCCATGTGGGGAACAGGCAGCAGGGCATGGGGCTCACTGGGTCCTTTGCGTCTGGGGTTCAGACCAGCGTCGGGAGGTGCCTCTGGGTGCAAACACCCACCTGTTGAAACTAGTCGAGAGGAGGAAGGAGGTCTGGCTGGCAAGTGTCTCCCAGGGTCCCTGGCAGTTGAGTTCCCTGTCCATTTCCCCATTTTGTGCATTCAGTTCGGCGTCCTGCTCGCACCCCTCCCAGCTCAGCCACAGAGAGGCTTGCAATGGGCAGGCGGGTGGGAGACTGAGAGACTGCCGGCTTTCCTTTTTTAGTCCTTTGGAATGCCAGCAGCCAAGTTGCTTTGCTTTTCTGGAACTCTGCTTTGATCTGCTCAGTTACTGTCCCCCATCCCTACCTCCCAGTCTCAATGTCTTCACCTTCCAATATAGACATACATGTATGTATCTTATGCTGGCCCCCCCTTCTCCCCCCCCTCCCCCCGCTTCTTCTTGGCTGTCTACCATACTGTTGTTCATTGTTGGGATTCTGGATTTGTATTTTATTTCATCTGCTTGTCTGTCTCCTCCCCCCTCCCTTCCCCCCTCTCTCCCCCGCACCCCTGTAACCTCATGCCCTCCTGGATTCTGAAATCAGTACACACTTGCCAGATGGGGCCAGGGGCCTGTCCTCCTTTGGTTGTGCATACCCCCCCCCCCCCCCTTCCCCAGCTCCTGCCCTTCCATGGAGCTCAAGGAGACCAGAAGGGGGCAGGCTGTTCCCAAAGTCTGGTGTCTCCTGAGCTTGGGCTGCAAGCTAGGAGAGGACCAGACCGTTTTTTTTGTGTGTGTGTTTTTTTTTTTTCTGCCAGTCACTGAGGCCCTTGCAACACGCTGTTTGTTTGCAGACCCTGCTGAGGCTGCTGGCATGGTGCTTTGGAGCTGGATTCAGGAAAGGGACATTAAAAAAAACAGAAAAAAGCCCTGTGATTTTCCAGATGGCTCTTGTAAAGAGAGGGTGAGGCACGTGCTGGGGAGATGGTGCTTCATCTCCGCTCTGTTGAAGTCTGGGGCTGGATGGGCACTGTTGCTTCCTGCACGCAGACAGGATCTGGGCCCTGGCGGCAGAGGGTATGTCCCAGAGAGCGTCAGGCAGGCACGGAGCATAGAGCATGTTCTAAACCAGGCCTTGCTCCCTTCGGCCCACCTGCCCGGAGCTTCTGCACTGGTGCCTTTTATGTTTGAGGAGCTGCAGCCCCATCGAGGGAGCGGAGGGCATGTTTGGTACATTTTACGAAAAGAAGAGGAAACACCCAGTGTCTCCAGCAGATAGAGACAGCGAGTGCTAGCATGGTGGCAAGCTGGGCATATCCTTACAAGATTTGCAAACTTCCTCTTTCCTCTCAGCTTCTTTCAAAGCTCTTAACTATTAGAATTATTGGCTGGATTGTCCTTGTTCTGTGGCTGTGATACTGAGTTTTTGTGTTTGTTTTTTTTTTCATTGAGTCCCCAGTAAGCTGTGTATTTTACTGTCATTTTAGAGTTTAAGAAACAGATGGGCTCACCTATGAAGGGAGAGGACGGTGGGGACACTTGTCAAAAAGATCAAACTACAGTTCTGAATAGATCTGGAGAACGTGAAGGACGATTGTGTGTGTTAATGTAAGGGATGTTTATTTTTTCCACTTTGCCTCCAGTGAACTTCTTGCAGTTTTTATTGCCTGTGCCCTTAGATAAATTGTTACTCAATTTCATCGAAGAAACCTAATTTTTATTACCCTTGAACACACCCATACACAGACACACTTAAAATAAAATGGTTTCTGTATTGTCTGACCCCTTAGAAATGTTGATTTTTTTTTTTTTCTGCAGAAATTCCTCATACTTCACATTGCTCAGATAACTCGGGATGTTTTCAGACACTGGCAGCCACTTTGAAAAATCGGTTCACTGTATGCAGGGCGCCTCTGGCTCTAACAGCCTCAGAGGCGTAGCTTTTCTTTCTATCCAAATGTTTTGAGACCGCAGAGAACAGAGGCTATTTTATTGATGGTTTTTTTTTTTCCCCCTTCACACTCTCAATGGAGTTTTATTTTGCTTGAGCAATGCATTACACTTTGTATACAGAAATATGCATCATCGAACAATATTTACCTTCCTGCAAATGTTGCCATCTGCTTAATCACATACTGGAAAAATGTTAAATAAAATAGATAAATAATAAGAGAAATGATTATCACACACACACACATATATATGTATATACAGGGTGTCCCCCCAAAATGTATACAAACAATGTCTGTAGCTTCTATTACATTTTGAAAATGAAATGTATTTTAATAAACACTGCCTTTATACTTATTCAAAGTGTGTATATAGTATGTGTGTGTATATATCTATACACACACACACACATACACACATAGGGTGAGGCAAAAATGGATTTTGCAAAAACAGTTTATTCTTGTCTTATTATTCATTCATTATTGCATTATTTTCCATAGGAACAACTGTAAGCCTACTTTTGCTCCGCCCTATATATACTTTCCTCCAGTCTCTGCACTTTAGACTTTCTCTCTAGTTTGTCAGTTAATAAATGAAAATCTTCCAGAGATTGAATGACAATTACTGTTTTCCAGAAAACAAAATGTCCTTAAGAATATCGCTGTGGTAGAGGTCTGCTTCCTGCTCAGAGCTGCGTGTGGTCCATGGGCCATAAATCTGGGGGCAGAAGGACTAGCATGCACGGTGCCAACGTGACTCACTGCCTGGGGTGAGGCCTGCCTCCTCTCTGTCTTTTGGTTGATACTGCCCTAAGACTTGGCACTGAGGACAGCTCTCTCCTTTGTTTTCTTTTGTACCTCCCCATTTTTATTGACCCTGGTCCCCATCTATCAGAAACAAAGAGAAAATATTATACTTTGGGGGGCGGGGAGAGGGAAGTAAGCAATCACAAACTCAACCCCTGCAAAACCCAAGTTTAAAGGGAAGGGTTGTGAGCTATTCTTTAAAAAAGAAACTCATAGTATGTTTGAAAATAAGCATTTTTTTTTTCACAATTAGCATCCATTTTCCCCAATCGAGTAGAGTTTGAGAGAAATCCACGGCAGTAGAAAGCATCATCTCCTGTGTGTCGATCCTTGGAGCAGTATGGGATGTGATATGAGGAGGACTGTAACATTTATTAAGTGCCAGCTGTATGCCACAGGCATCCTTTGGTATTTTGTGTACGTTATGCTCACCCTTCTACCCCCCAAAAAAATACAGGCTAGAAGAAGGTGTTATCCAACTCAGAAACTAAGGACATTTGGCCAGAAATTGCTGGTCTTACGTTGTCGATTGCGTGGCAGGGATAATGAGGGCTTTGTAGATATTACCTCACTGTCTCAGTGACTATTCCCAACTGTGGTTGTTCCCATTT